TTTTATAATCATTTTTCTGAATTCTTTCTCAGGAACCTCAAGGCCTGCCCTCGTTCCAGCATGGAGAGAAGGTCTACTTCTGGTTCATTTGTCTCAGATATTTTATCTTTTTTCTGGACATGTGCCGATATGGTCATCTGCTTTTGCTTCTTGGACATGTTTAATGTTTATCTGTGGCCCTAATAATTAATTAAGTATGTGTTTTGGTAATTTTTTATGTTTTCTGATTAACTCCAGGAAGATGTGATCAGGATGTGGTCTTCCCTTTTCACTCTACTTATTGCTTAACTCAGAGTAACTTTTTTGGCCTCAGTTGGGCCTGGGACTCAGCGGCAGGCCGTTTGGGCCTCGGGCGGGTGGGTTGAGCTTAGGGCGGGCGGTTTGGTCCTCTGGGTGCCGGGGCATCAGCGACCGGGCTGCAGGAGGGTTGGTCTTCGGGTGGGTGGTTTGGGCCTTGGACAGGCGGTGTGGGCCTCAGGGGGCCTGGGTGTCAGCAGGTGGGTATCGGGCGGCTTGGGCCTCAGCGGGCAGGTTGAGCAGATTGGGCCTCGGGGGGCCTGTGCCTCAGGGACCGGACTAAGGGCAGGTTGGGTCTCAGGGGCACTGGGCCTTGGCAACCGGGCTACGCGGCGGGTTTGGCCTCGGGATCTGGGCCTCCACGACCGGGCTACACGACGGGTTGGGCCCTAGACCTCCATGATCTGGCTACACGGCAGTTTGGGCCTTGGGGGCCTCCCGGGGAAAGCATACGCAGACCCTGGGTTGATTAGTGGGCAGCCCCATTAAACCACCTCTGAATATAATCAGTTTAACCCAGATGCTCTCCTTCCTCCTGAAAGTATATAGGAATATTAAGAACAATGTACCATTTTAGGTATAGATAAATGAAGCCCGGTGCCTGAGAGCTTGCTCACAAACAAAAGTTTGCAAAGTGTACAGAGACAGCTTGGCTCCTTTCAGAAACCTTGCTTTATGTTATGTATCCTTAAGAAACTGCACGTTGCTACTCTAGATCATTTAAGCCTAAAAAATAATATATAACAGCTTGATTGAACCTTTTTTCTGTAAAAATAAAAACGTTAGTTAAGAAAAACTATAAAAATATCTTAAAAGTTGTTCCTGTGAATCATTATGTCCTGTTTTGTATGATGAATCACATTTCAGGTCCGTATCCTGTCTTAATCACATCCTCCCTTTGTGACATCCTCCCTGAGTGAATTACAACCTTCCTTTGTAACAAATCCCTCCCTAAAAAAGAGAATAAAAGGCTGAGGTAGAGTAAGTTCTACACGCAATGCTGTGCAATGCTAGGCAAAATGTTTGCAGATCTGTCTACCTGCCAGCTTGCATATTATCTGTGTATCTGTCTTTTTTGTATATATTTCATCTCTCTCTTTCTCTATCATTTTCGCCACCAGATCTCCCTTCTTCGTGACACCCACACTTCCTTGTCGAGGCGTGACCCAGACATAGGACCTCGACAGGGGCCCTGGACCTCAGCAGCAACCGGGCCTTGGTTGGGCCTGGGCCTTTGTGACCAGTCTGTGGGCGGGTTGGGCCTCAGGGCAGGCCTTGGCCTTAGTGGGAGTGTCTGGGCCTTGGAAGGGCCTTGGCCTCAGTGGGCGGTCCTATGCCTTGGGCGTTCCTGAGCCTAGGCGGCTTGGCAGAAGGCTGGTCTAGGCCGGGGCAGTAGAGGGCTGGGGGTAATAACTGCAGGGAGGTAGTGTCTGTATTTGATGACATAAAAGATGCCTCTCTCAGTCTCTCTGTACCGTGGGTATCCCGAATTTCCTGATATCCGCGCCGATATTCCTCTCTATTTGTTCAGCTTTGTTAGTTTATGCTTCCTTTTCTCTGGAAATGCAGCCTTCTAAGTGGGGTTGCTCTATCCCTGCATTCTAAGGTCTGCAGGGGGCAGAGGCACTTGTCGGCGCGGGCGCAGAAGCGGGAGCTGCGTGCAGGCAGGCAAAAGCTCAAAAATGCCTGTAAGTCCTCAGCAATTTGATGTTTAAAAAAAACAAGTTCAGAATGTTGAAATATAAGATCTTATGTTTGTTAAGTACCATTGAGTCGGTTCCGAACCACAGCGACCCTGTATAGAGTTTCTAAGGAGCAGTTGGTGAGCTAGAATCACTCGCCTTGTAGTTCAAAGGACTTTGCAGTCTGATGCATTAGCTCACAGCGCCACCCCAGGACTCACTCCACTCACTCATTCACTCACTGTGTGTGTGTATAAAATGAAGCAGTCATTAAAGGAAAAGGAGAAAAATACAGAAAGTGATACCTGTAGATTTTACAATGCAGTGTTGTTAGGAACCATATAATCAAAGACACACGGCACGGATGCAATTTACCAGTGTATGCCCATATACGGATGTGTGATTACAGTGGATGGTAAACAGTACTCAGGATTCCATAGGTGCGTGTTTGCGTAGGGCTGGGGAGGGGTGACACCCACCCAACTGACTTGTACAAAACTGTGAGAAAATTAATTTCTGTTCTTTCAAGTAAAAAACAAAACAAGTAAGCTTCAGTAGAGTTTGTTGTGGTCCAAGGAAAGCAGTCACCGAGCATGGCCCGCCGCACTGACAGGGATTAGAGCTACAGACTCTCTAGAGGAGGGCCGGGGAACGTTTTTCTGCCAGAACTGATAACACCACTCACGGGCTATACAAAACCATCAACTTATAAATTAGCCTTCTGTATTTTGTCAAACACTTAATGACCTCACTCCTGATGTGATGGCTGAAACCGAGGTTGCCTGGCAGAGCCAGACCAGATGATTTCACGCCTTAAACAACCTACGGGCCAGACATTCACCATTCCTGTTCAAGAAAGTCTGTACAGTAGCCTCTAGCCAGAAATGTGGCTAGTAAATTCAGGTTATGTTACAAATGTCAACTACACACACTGGATTTTGAAGAGCTGGGCTTGGGGGCAGAGGAGTAAAAGATCTCGTAAGTTTTCATACTGATTAGAAGATGACATGGTATTCTGAATGTAGAGTAAATAAAATATATTTAAATTAATTCTACCTGGGTTTTTTTCTAACTTGTCTTTTCACCTTTTTAAATGTTATGTGCTGTGGAGTCGGTTCCTACTCATAGTGACCCTACACAGAGTTTCCGAGGCTGTAAATCTTTACAGGAGCAGAAAGCCTCATCTTTCTCCCAAAGAACCACTGGTAGTTTCGAACTGGTGACCTTGCGGCTCGCAGCCCGACTTGTAACCATTATGCTACCAGAGCTCCTACTAGAAAATTCAGCATTACAAGCACAGCTCACATGTTTCTATTAGCTAGCACTGTTCCAAAGACTTAACGCCTCCTCCCTCACATTCTTCAACCAGCCTTCACATCCCTTCCGTACTAACAAAAGCTGAGTATTGACTCCTAGCAAGTGATAGCAAAAGAACATTACAAGACGGATTTTTGTTCCAGAGTTCTATCATTGGCTAGCAATGACAAGGTGGTTACATCAGATTCTCTAGACCTTAATTTTCTCATGTGGGAACTCTTCATCTCTAAGGTCCCTTGGGACTACTATTTCTTAATGAGAAAACCTGAGTTTGTCTCTCTGTCCTGTAGAGAAACATTAGCAATCTGTTCTGTGGCCCGGGATCATTCATCTAGGGTTCAGTGTCTGCTGTTAAGGACATGCTTACTTTTCTGTCCGGTCCACACTTTTCACTTACATTTCTGGAAGACGGAACCCACAAGAAAAAAAGGTTACGAGTAGTTTTACTAGTAATAAGGAAGCCTGCTGGCACAGTGGTTAGGTGCTCAACTGCACACTAAAAGGTTGGGGACGTCAAACCTGCTAACAACTGCTCCTCAGGAGAAAGACAGGCATTCTGCTTCCATAAAGACGACAGCCTTTGAAACCCTCCAGGTCCGTACGGTGGGACCTACTTGATGTGGCTGGGTTTTGGTAGCTGGTAATATGATAGGTATACTCTGAAACTGAATGTTCCTGAAATGAGGGGCTTCAGGAGTGGACTTGTTTAATTACACCCACCATCAGTGGACATCTCAACTCCCAGTCTTGTTCTTGAGGCCCTCGAAGACCCCATCTGCTATTCCTCTACTCCAGCACATTTACTGGTATTTCTCAAAATGACCTGTGCTACAATCTATAAAATTCCATGTCTAGTCTGTCAAAAAATGGAGTCTGTGTTGAAATGCATTATTTTACTAAATCACGGCCAAAAGAATCGCCCTAAACTGAGACTCTGTTGTCCCTTAATTGCACAAGACACATGTTTGGACGCTAGCAGACTTTAGTGGTGAAAGATACTGGTAAATTAGTGTCTTCATTAAGCAGAAAACCAAGCACTGAAACACAGAGCATGGCAAGGCGAGGACCACAGTGGTCACAGAAAAACAACCAGAAACACAACACCCAAGTCAACTAAACAACAAGCAAACCCCAGTATTAGAGAGCTATGCCGTCAGTCACAAGGCACTCCGTTTAAACTGGCATTCTCTAGCATGCATGTGCTTAGTGTTCAGTACTTGATTTCAGACACCCAGAGACGTTGCTAAGAAAACAGTGTCATCTCACGCTGAGAATACAGGCTCTCTACCTTTGCTCTCAGGCTGTGAGGATGGGGTGGTGGTCCAAAAAGCCATTGGGTTAGATTTAAAAAGGCTAAAATTAAGTCCTAGAAAATAAAGAGCATTTGATTTTGAACATTTTGAGAAACAAACTGTATATGATTTTACAATAGAAAAAGTTCAGAGGGCCTCCAAAGCTGCCAATCTGGTTGTCTCCCATACTCATTTACACCCATGGTTTCATTGTGTGCTCATTTAAATGGCAGCAAGATGAACTTAGAAAAACACTTGTTCAAATACTTTCCTAAGTGTTCACGATAAACAAAACACTGCTTGCAGCCCACTGCTAACTAAACATCTAACTAAACGTGTCCTGTAAAGAGCCTCTAACAAGACAACCATTGAAAGAATAGAAACTGTTTACTTCTCAAAAGTAAGCACTTACCTTTTTCTGGTGTTTTCAGTGTGTAGTTAGTGGAGGATTCTTCCTTGGCAGAGGAAGCCGAGAGGTTTCTTGCTCTGCGATCTGAAGACGGGTGGGCATCAGAGTCCTTTGATGGGCCACGTTTGTCGGATTCCACTTTTCGTTCTGGTCCACTAGGGGCTACTGCAGTAGATTCGCTATTACTGTTACTTTTCAAAGGTGCATTGAAACTAAACCCAAACAAAGAGCCAGTGGCGGAACTATTGCCAAATGCAAATGGCTTGGATTTTTCAGTACTAAAAATGCTTTTGACAGACTCTGAACCAAAGACAAACTTTGGAGGAGAAACCACCGCTTTTGTTGTCATTTCAGAGGGGTTGGCCACTTCCACTTCTGAAGGTGCAGCTGCTGTCTCGTCACCCTGAACTACATCTGTCCTCTCTCTCGTGGTTTCCTCTAAGACAGCAACGGCAATTTTGCCACACGGTGACTCTCTGGGAGTAGACGAACGAGAAACGTGAGGTGTTATCAAAGCATCTTTTTCTTGGGCTAATTTTGCTTCATCAAAAATATTCTTAAATGAGTCTGCAACATCCTGGAGTTTGAATCGAACAGCTAAATGTTCTATTTTTCTCTCTCCATCCGCAAAATCACATGCAGTCCACACCCACACTCTTTCTGTCCCTTTCATATTTTGCAGAGTCATGTCTGGAGTTATTCTGTGATTGGCACAAAGTTTTAACACCTGGTCTCTTCTCATCACGATGCGAACTTGCTTGTTATCATAGTTCTGCAAAATCTTTATATCGCCAATGCCCCTTTCTTTCCACTGGCCAACATCTTTATCATACCTATAGAGTTTTGCTCTGTGACTAAAAACAACTTGCTCATTTTCTTCACCACTAGATACTTCGACTAGATCAGGTAAAGGTACAACAGGCTCAAAATACTGTCCATCTCTCTCTTCTTCTTGAGTAACATCAGATTCTTCATCCATGCCAACCGAAGTTCCACTCTGATTCAGCTTGGCAGGAGACTTAGATGGGCTCAAAGCAGATTTGAAACTGAAGTTGAATCCCGTTGTTGACTCACCGAAGCGGAAAAGATTTTTCCTCACAGGACTACTCGCCACCGGAGAAGCGTGTACTGAGCTGCTGCTCACGCTGTCGTCCAGAGCGTCTTCCCGTAAGTCATAGTTATCCCACTCAAGCGAGGGCCCCGTGCTCTCAGGGTTTGGCGGCATTGGTTTGCCTGAAACGCTCACAGCACCTGAACCTGAACTCGTACTCTCTGCATCAGTGGCTTTTGCTTGATAATTTGTCAAAACTGTTTTTAAATCTTTCAGGCCACTCTTTATCTCCTCAGCTCTCTGTATCGACCTAGAGCGCCCAGTGTCAACCAGTTTATGGGGAGTCTGGAGCGGTATGTCTAACAGAAGTCTCTGACATTCTTCAAATTTCTGCTTGAATTCTTCAGCCAGCTCTGGTGTTTTAAATTTTGCTGCTAATTGCTCTAGTTTGGCATCACCATCAGAAAAATCACTCGCTAACCACATCCAGGCTCTATCAGAGCCCGAGAGGGGCTTCAGATTCATGGTGGTAGTTATCCAATGATTCGCACAGACCTTTAGCACTTGTTCTCTTCGCATCAACATTCTTAGTTTGCCATTGACTTCGTTTTTGAGGATTTTTAAGTTCCCTAAGCCTCTTTCTTTCCACTGACTTATCTCAGCATCAAATCTAAATAACTTGACCCGTTGCGAGTAGAGAACTTTCTCATCTTCTTCCCCTGTTACAAGTTCCACTTTCTCAGGCATCTGAACTACGGGTTCAAAATGGATGTCATCACTGTCCTCAGTCTTGTAGGCATCATCGTCTTTCTCGAGGTCAGCACAAGTATGCACTTTATCAACCATTCTGCTACCCTGTGATGAAAATAATTTTTCTCCAGCACCTGAAAATCCCTTAAAATTGGGATCTTTTTTGCCAAATTGAAATCCTTCTCCTGAGGTTGATTTTGCAAGGTCTGCAAAGGTAAAAGTGGTACCAGCCTGACCAAAAACCAAACCACTTCCACTCTTCTGGTTACTAGCATCGTGGGCCAGGAAACCACTGGTGTTTTCAAAGAGCTTTTCATGTTCTTCACTTTTCTTCTCTAAGTTTCCTGGCTCCTGAATGCCAAATTTAAATCCATCAGCAGAGACAGGGATGGAAAAATTAAATCCTTCTTTTGGTGACTTTGATTCTGTATTAGAACTCTGAAATGTAAATGAGGGTACATTTTCTTGACTCACATGTCCAAATTTAAAACCTTGCGCTGTACTGCCAAATTGAAAACCTTTATCTAAAAAGTCTGTTTTAAATCCTGTTCCTATCTGACTTCCAGACAAGCCGTTTAACTTAAGTTTCGCACTCAACGTGAAAGCAGAAGAACTTTCTGCGCTCGGGCTCTGAGTTGGTTTAGAGGTCTCACAAGCCACGCACGTGGCAGCACTGGCTTCGTTTCGCACCAGACATACACTGCAATCCCACTGTCCTTCCTTCTTGGTGAAGAACTCTTCAAATCCACTCTTTGGAACCTTGCTTGTCTCTGAAGAGGCAGGTGCTGGGACCGTAGAACTAGCCTGGGGCTGTTGACAAGGACTCTGACAAGCCACGCATGTGGCAGCACTGGCTTCGTTTTGCACAAGGCACACACTGCAATCCCACTGCCCCTCCTTCTTGGTGAACATTCCTTCAAATCCAGTCTTTGGGGTCTTGCTCAGCTCTGAAGTACCAAACTTGAGAGAGGCCGGTGCTGGGACCGCAGAACTAGCCTGGGGCTGTTGACAAGGACTCTGACAAGCCACACAGCTGGTGGCACTGGGTTCGTTTTGCACGAGGCACACACTGCAATCCCACTGCCCCTCCTTTTTAGCAAACATGTCCTCAAAACTACTCTTTGGAGCCTCGCTTGTAAAAGAGACAGGTGTCAGAACATAAGTGGATTGGCTCTGGTTTTTAGGGTTCTGGCAGCTAACACATTTGGCCGTGCTTCCTTCATTTACAGCAAAGCACGCACTACAATCCCACTGTCCTTTCTTAGTTGAAAAGGGTGACCTGAAATCGCTGCTAACAGACTTAGGAAGATCTTCCTGACCAAATTTAAAGGAAGATGGCTGAACAAAGGAAGATTCATTTTTGCTGCCCGACTTTGTGTTCTGGCACGCCACACACCTAGATGCAGTGGGCTCACCGCTGATTAAACAACTACGACAATCCCAGTGGCCTTCCTTCTTTGGAGTCATCAGAGCAAATCTATCTTGAGTACTTTCTAGGCCTGTTTTAAAAGTGGGAACAGTTTCAACTAATGGTGGGCCAACGAGTTCTTTATTATTTGGGTTTAGATTTTGGCACGACACACACTGCTTAGCTGTTGCGGCATTCTTGAGTGAGCAGCTCTTACAAAGCCACCAAGACCCTTCTTTCTTTGTAATTTGAAAATCAAAATTCAAATGTCCAGCATCCGGTTTGCAAATATCCTTGTTATCACGACTTGTGGGTTCTTTTACAATTCGGGCGGTCTGACTGGTTGGTGTGGCTGCCTTGGTTCCTGAGGCTTTCAGAATGCTCTGGGCCTCTTCAAACTTGCACTTAAAAAGTGCTGCTTCCTCCGGAGTTTTGAATCTAATAGCAAGTTGTTCCGGCTTTGGTGATTCATCTGCATAATCAAGCGCATGCCACACAAAAGACCTGTCTGAGCCAGCGTTTGGTGTAAGCTTCATATCTGGGCTTATGTAGTGGTTTGCACAGATCTTCAGCACCTGCTCTCGCCGCATCAGCAAGCGGATTTTACCAGATGTCTTGTGCCTGAGGATTTTCACGTTGCCAATGCCTCGTTCTTTCCACTCTTTGGAGTCTGCATCAAAGCGGAACAATTTGGCACGATTGCAGAAGACTTGCTCCTCATCTTCCTCCCCAGTTTTCACTTCGATCTTATCAGGAAGAGGCACCACAGGCTCGAAGTGAGGTCCATCGTCATCGTCATCGCCATGGGCACTGCCTCCGTCAGCTTCATGAGGCTTGGTCGCTAACTCAGGAGTAGGAGTTCCAAATACTGATTTGCCTGGACCGTGGAAAGTGAACATATCATCACTTCGACGAAAACTAGAATTCTTGTGCTGATTTGGTCCCATGCTGTCCGTAAATGAAGTTCCAGATACATTTTTGTTTCCAAAACTGAATGTGTTTCGAGTTTCAATGGACTGGCCAGATATCGGTTTGGGTCCACTATGGGCATCCCCTGGCAGAGGTTTATCTGAAGTCAGGAGGCCCAGAAGACTCTCACTATGACTGTAAGCTGTGGACGACGGCTGTGCTGCGGCCTGGGGTGAGGAAAATGTGAAGTCGCCATCATTTGATTTGAAATTCGAGTTAAATTTAAAAGGAGTTGGCTGTGTTGTATGTGCTGCTGCCGTCAAAGACTGCCTTATTCCGTCACCTGAAACAGGCTGAACAAAGGTAGATTTTCCAAACTCAATAACCTTAGATTCTGTCGTTCTTGAAGTGGGAGGTGCAACTGGAGGTTTTGTGAAATAGCCTGGTTCAGGCAAAGGTGGATTTGTGTTTGTCTGTTGAACGTTGTAATTAAAGTAATCATCACTCCTGGGTGATAAAATTCCTGTTGCAGGCGATTCAAAACGCAGGGGAGGGCCATAGATCTCTTGAGAGAACATGCAAGCGGCCGAGCTCTGCAGTGGAGGGGTGTGCATTTGTTGTGGGTAGGCGTAAATGTGGTGCTGAGGTGGGAGCCTATTCACACCATAAACTGGACCCTGAAAGAAAAGAAAAGTGAACAATGTTCTGTCTACAAAACTACAGACAACCAGATACAGAGCAGTTCTCACAAACCTCCAACGTGATTACCATGAGGCCTTAAAGAAGGTGTCCTCGGGGAACGGAATATATCATTATGAGACAACACAGACAATCGCAGCTTACAGTCCTCATCATATCATAAATACTGCAATTACATCATCTACTTCTGCTACAATAAAGCCATAGGAAATACATCTTCTTCATTCCAAAGCAATGTGTCAGAGGATATTAACAATGATGGTGATGATGATGAAAACTAACACTTGGCATATTTGTTACCGTATTTTAATGCCACCCAATAAATTAATACCATCCTCATTTTCCATCTCAGGCAGCTGGTGTGTAGGCATGAAGAAACGTGTCCGAGAGCACAGTAAGCATTAGACGGAGGCTTAGACGAACACAATCCCTCTGTCTTCAAAGCCCTCACTACTGCTTTAATACTGGATATCTCAGTCCAGAGTTACAGAGCCACATTTTCAAACCTGTAACTACTTAGCACATAGTGGTGGAGCAAGTTAAAACATTCTAGTCCTATTTCTGCCAAAACGGAAAAATGAGGGTCTATCCCCCTCCCCCACCCCATTTAAGAGTTATTCTAGTTACATTTGCTATAATATAAATCTAAGGTGACTAAATATAGCTTCTATCTGGAAAGAAATCTCTCTTCTGGGAGGCATGTAAGGGCTATTAGTGTACTACTATACTTGTTATGAAGGAAGCCTAAATAGTTACAAAAGGGGGATACAGTCGATCCTCATTATTCGCGGATTCCACATTTGCAAATTCCCTTCTGAGTCAAATTTTCTGATAACGCCCATCAGTCCTCACAGTTGTATTGCAGTCATTTGCAGACACACACAGAGCATCAAAATTTTTGAGTCACCCAATGTACTTGTTTCCAGGTGAGGTCAAACAGAGGAGCACCACCACTCAGCTTTTAGCCCTTTGACTACGCAGAAGTGACCACTGGGCAGGCTGGTTATTAACAACCATATTGTTCATGCACTTGGCTGGTAATTGCACTTGTAGTTTAAAGTGTCCCCCAGTGATGAATACTGTCTGTAGTGTTCCTAACCCTCAGAGAAAAATACATACTCGTTAAGCTTCGTTCATTCATGAGTTATAGTACTGTTAAAGAATGAACAGTGTATGTTTAGTAAGGTACCTTCAAACAGAAACAAACATAATGAAAGGTAACGCATTGATCAACTGATGAAAATGCTGTGACCAGAGGATCAGAGGAAACCTAACCCTATGTTCGCCCTAAGAGCAATGCTTTGCTATTAGCTACTTCAATATCTGCAGAGACTTTACAGACCCAAACTACCGCGAACGATGAGAATCAACTGTATTTATGAATGTATACATCATTCCTTCGTTACCTTGGTGGGAGTAACATTAGCTGCTGGTCTGAGAAGACACTGGGAATGATATGCTGGTGACTGACTATAATACACTGAAGGGCCAGTAGTTGCAACTAAAAAAAAAAACAAAAAAACAAAAAACAAAAAAGAAAAGAAAACACTGTTAAAAAGTCTATACTTTCTAGGTAGGCTAGAACTATAAATACAAAAACAATAGAAGTCAAAGGAATATTTAACTCTATAGGTTTTTAAATTTCTATACACCAAAATACATCATAAACAAGATTAAAATTAAAACAAACTAGGGGAAACTACTAAATAGGACAAATGAAGACTAAGATAGTAGTACCAAGGTGGTTAATAAGAACAAGTGCTTCACAAGCATTAAGCAGGAAGCCAAGGACACGGTGACAGCTCCTTTTTCCAAGACAGTGGACGGTGAGTGCATGGCAGGCAGGCAGCATCAGAACTGCTGGGACACTAGCAATAGGGGGTGAAGGAGCCCACAGGCACCGATTCATCTCAAGGGCTGTCTTGGAAGCAAGCCTTGAAAACCTACAGATTAATGAAGTTGCAGTTTATAAACTGAGGATGTTCAGGTCAAAAATCACCTTACAAATTTATAGAAATGATCTCACAATGAACACAAAATGTATTCCTTGGTTTGTGAAAAGGGGGAAAAGCACATTATGATTAACACTCATGTTAATGTCAAATCTATTTTTACTTGGTTCTAGGTGAGGAAAATCAGAAACAAAAGAGCAGACACAACGGCAAAACCTTTACCAACAGTCATCTGTTTACCCGTCTGATGAGTTGTGCAGAAACAAAAGAAGCAGAAGAAGAAATAGAGAGAGAGCCATGAGCTGAGAGACACTGCCCCACTACTGGGCAGAGTGCTGAGTAAGATAAGAAGCCAGGACGCTCAGTTATCCTGTCCACAACATCGCTAAGAACAGTGAGAAGCGCTGAAGAAACCCAATCTTCAACTGGGAAAACAAACGAAACTGCCAGGTAAAGATGGGTCTTTGGAAATACTTGGGAAAGAAAAAGGCACAGACTCTAGAACGCCTTGTAATGTGAGCCAAGAATCAGAGAGTGCAAACTTGAATCACTAGTGACCAGGACTCCTATCAATAATTCAGAGAAAAGGAGGGGAAACAAGATGAAAGATTCTAAAGCGTTAATCTGTTGATGTTGCCGTTAGTTTCCAACTGTTGGGTGACACCACGAGCACTGTCTGTCAGTGTTACGTGCCCTCACGGCAGTTCCAAACCTCTACAGACTTTCTGAAGATCAGCTGCTAAGTTTGAAGTGCCAACCTTGTGGCTCGCAGTTGTGTGCTGATCTTACAGCACCACAACATGAGCACAGTTAGTAGTAAACTAATGAAACATGAAAATGCATAATCCAGTTTGCTTTTACAAATTCGCAAAGATTTTTTATAAACTAACAAAATTCAACACTAGCAAAAGAGCAAGAAGATGGCACTATTAGATACATATGGCAAGGCTGCAAACTGCTACTGCTCTTCTGAAAAGCCTTCACAACACAACTGAAAAAACTTTAAAATACCTCTGGGAATGTGATCACTGCATCATTAGTAATACGAAAAAGTGGAAATGACATAAATAAGAATTTGTGGCACTTGTACATGCTGGAATACCACTGTATTCACTGAAAGTATTTTTGAAGACTATTTTTAATAGAAAATGCTCGGAAATTAAGGTTCTATTTTAGAAATAAGCTAAGTCATCTGCCTACATGATAATGAATTATGGTGCTCGCTCTGGCAGCACATATACTAAAATTGGGACGATACAGAGATTAGCAGGGCCCCTGCACAAGGATGACACAGAAACTGGCGAAGCATTCCATATTTTTTTGAATCTTGGTTTTCCTTGAATTATAATATAAAATAGACAATGGAGGGGGAGAGAAAGGATAGTCAGAAACATCACCATAGAAAGCTTGTTAAGTCCATCTTCTGCCTATAACTGACTGGAATACCTAAAATGGGGCTACAACATGCCCAGTGAAGGAGTTTCCTGCGGAGCCTCTGCAATACATAAGACTATAGGTAGAGGCCTGACCCACATCCAGATCTCCAGAGATGGGAAATTTCCACTTGAAAGGACGAGCAGACCAACCTGGAGCGGCTAGAAGAACAGAAGATACTTCTTGAAAGAAATACCTACAGGAAATACACAAAGCAATAGAGGCAGATGGACTGTTACTCCAAGAACAAACAAGTTGCTTGCCCAGGAAACATCAAGGCAAGTGGTTGGGTCCCCTCAGTGCAAACCCCCTTCCAAGAATAAGACTCAATGGGAATACACGCTCTGATTGGTGACCACGCTCATCACCGATAAGGGGAAGTAAGGGAAAAACAGCAATGAAGTGGTGAGCTAAGCCCTACAATGTGGAGAGTGAAGCGTCCAGCTGATAAGAAGAGAGGGCATTTGCACAAGAACACCCACACTTGCAGATAATACCCACTTGACCTGACTTCAATGACTGGATGATCAGAGCTCAAGCAGAAGAAGAAAGAAGAGGAAAAAAAAGAGTAATCTGATACAATTTGAAGAACCTGACCTACACCTATGGATGCAGTAGCTCAAAAGAGGGAGCAAATCCTTACAGCAAGAATCATTCCGACACCCTCCACACACAGAGTAGACAGGGATGGGCAACTTGGACATTGACTACCCAAAATGGGGGGTGGGGGCTACAAAGGCAAGAAGTGACTGGCTTACTAGCTTTCAAGAGGGAACCTAGAGCCAGGGACCATGGAGGAAGGCAGAATCTCCAGTGAGTAGTATCCAATCTGTCTAGGCGGAGCTGATGAAATGCAGATGGATCTCTTGTGATATAATAGTGAATAATTGTTATCAGGACTGATTGTGAGGGTTGGAATTGTAAAGGTAGACGTTTTATAGCAAGGAAAGGAGTGATTAACTTTCCAGTCCAGGATCGGAGGTCTCTAGGACCATCAACGGAGAAGAGCCGAGAGCGGGAACCTACCCAGAGAAGCAGTGATGCCCGAGATGGAGGCAGAGACAATGACGTGGAGCGATGGAGCAGCTGGGGACTTTAGATCCAGAGAGGGAAAGGGGCTGTGTGCTGAAGACTGGGGAGGGTGGGGGAGGATAGTGCAGGGGGCAGGCTTGCAGGGTATACCCTTTGGTTGGTTGATGATGCATGGAAGGGATTGGAACCATGGCAATGAAACGATATATGATAGAATGAATGTAAAACTAATGTTCTCCCATGTAAACTATCATATAATTCACAATAAAACATTAAAAAAAATGAATTATGCATGCACAGAAAAAGAACTGGAAAGAAATGCTCCCAGTTGTGAAGAGGATTTGAGGTGACAGAAAGGTGGTCATTTATTCAGTGTTCTGCATTTCTGAATATTTCCTACAATCACATTCAACTTTGTTTAATAACCATCTTATTTTAAATCCAGGATCACAATGGTATATTTTTACTTTCAATAATGGGGAAAAAAATAAGAACACACACAAATTTGGACTCTTTTTGCCTTCAATGCCAAAAACAGATTTGTGACCTTGTCAATAAGTCATTTGGAGTTTTCCATTTTTCTCAAATGTAAAATGAGGATGATCCTTCTATAAATTTCACATGTGATTGTAAGAATGAGACGATATGAATGTTATATTTCCGTTAGGTTAACAATCACAAGGCCTTTCCTGTACTTGGTAAAAGTAAATATAAATTATGACCCAAGACGTGTCAAACAATTCCAGACAAGAATTGAAAAACGCCAGATGAGCTTAGCCAGTCAATGTATTTCTCCAAGACTCTACACACCTCATGTATTTTATAACATGTGACATCTTGGAAGTTATAACCTTATAAAGATTTTCTTAATTGTATTGCCTGCAAAGACGCTGTGTAACTAGAGGAAAGAGAGCTCTGGGAGTGTAGTGGTAAAGCTCGGCAACGCCAACACACTAGTCACAGATGTAGCAGTCTCCTGCTATGAATCTTTAGTTAACCCTTAGAAGCCTGTGGGATAGTTCCACTTTGTCCTATCGGGTCGCTACAAGTCAAAATTGATTCAACAAAAGTGGGTCTGGTTAGGTTATAAGAGGCCAGTGAGGCTGTCTTAGTACATCCTAATGGAGTGTGACACAAACGTGCTAAACTAGCCCTTAGCATCTTAAATATTTCCTGAGTTAGAAGGAAATATGCATAACTACATTTAAAGAATTGATCTCATGTAAAATTAACTACTTTGACTATTAATTCTGGCTGCCTGGAGAATTATGGATCAAACTGGCAGGTGAATGTTTTTAAGTCTCCCAATAATAAGCAGCTCTGGTAGCGTAGTGGTTACGAATCGGGCTGTTAACTGCGAGATCAGCAGTTCGAAACTACCAGCTGTTCCACGGGAGAAAGATGAGGCTTTGTGCTCCCGTAAAGATTTACAGCCTCAGAAACCCTGTACAGGGTCACTATGAGTTGGAACCAACTCCACGGTACTTAACAACAACAAGCTGCTTAATAACAATGTAATGTTGCTCAATCTGTGTCCATGTGTGAAAAATTGGGATTCCTAACAGTAAGTACCACTCGGAGTTGTTGTGATTAAATAAATTATATGGACAAAGCATCCGTACACATAGCCTACAGTAAGTACACTAGTAATACCCTTGGCTTATTAAGTATTTACTAACTATACAGTGTGGTGGCGGCCTAGCACACACCCTCTCACACACAAATGCTCAAAGTAATCATTTGAGGTATTATCTCCATATTCAAATCAGCCAAGTGAGTGATCGAGCACCACTGCAGTGCCCAGTCTGGTCTGGCTTCAAACGCTTTCCTTTTTATGTCATTACATGCTCTCAAGTCCATGGTGCCTCACAGCGGTGGTCCAGGGCCACGCACAACTGCCCACGGCGTCTCCTAACGGATACTCACAATGAGAGCTGCTCCCAGGTCTAGCTCCTGCGGAACTGACCTTCCAGTCAGCAGTCAGGCACTTTCCCACTGTGCCATTAAGGGCTCCGTCTTGCTACGCTAGGACTCTAGTATCTCAAAGTCAACAACACTCCTGCCTCTCAGCATGCCATCAAGATTAACCCCACAGGCTTAAGCTTTTACTTAGGCATCTCCTAAGTGCATAAATTAACAATTTTCATAATACAAGAGATAATTCTAGCTCAGACTCATCTTCTTTGAGCTGTTGTATTAAAGAATCCTATTCACCTTTATAGTCACTGGATCAGACAAAGCTTGTTTGTTTCTGCTGATGGTTATCAAACAATCAATAATACCAAATAAAACTTTTATTTTAAAGTTATTAACAGACAAAGACATGCCTATGAACAAACATATAGACAAGGTGACTTCACAAGTCATCTAATTCAACCAAGCAGCAGTTCAGTGACTTGCACTAAAGTAGATTACCCAACTGCCATCGTACCTGTTAGAGGAGCCCCAGGAAAAGTCTGTGACCCCTGGTATCCATCAGGCACTGAGTCAGCTCCATAATTCTCTGGGGGCCAACGATGAGGAGATGCTGCGTTACTGCTGTTTAGTTTCAGCTCCTGCATTTCTTTCTATTGGGGGGGGGGGGGGGGGGAGAAAACCTTTAAAACTATTGAGAATATGCCATGCCAGAAACACTGCTTGTGCAAACTTAAATCACCCCAGAACTTCAATCACTTCAGAACTATTCATCTTGGCAGGTATAGCATAGGATAGGATGGAGGTCAGTTCCACTTAGGAGATTATCCAGCGATTTCCTCAAACACAGATCTATTTGTTCTTTTGGCAGTCCATGGTGGTGGTGTTGATGTGCCATGGAATCGGAACTGACTCAGAGTGACCCTGTACAGGGTTTCCAAGGCTGTAAATCTTTACGGAAGAAAACCTCTTGTTTCTCCCGCGGAACAGCTGGTAGTTTCAAACTGCTGACTTTGAGGTTCGCATCCCGATTTGTAACCACTATGCTATAGCACTTTCAATATTCTCCTTCAACACCATTAACTCAAATGCATCAATTCTTCTACAGTCTTCCTTATTCACTATTCAACTTTGGCAAGCATATGCAGTGTTGTACCTCATGACTGATCTGGGTAAGTTCTTTTTGACAAGGAATGCAACACCATTCCTCTTCAATTTGTCATTCCCAACACAGTAAACCATGAAGTTGTCAGATGGCCAATATTAGTCCATTTCAGCTCACCGATGCCTAGGATATCGATGTTTATACATTCCATTTCATTTTTGACAAGTAGATTTTCATAGCTGTTTCCCTTCATTTTGAGTTGTGCCCCATTAGCAAATGAAGGTTCCGAGGGCTTTACTTCATTCGCATCATCATCATCCACTCTACTTGGAGGAGGCAGCTCTTCCCTAGTCGCATTTTGAGTGCCTTTCAATACGAGGGGGGCTCATCTTGCGGCACTGTATCTGACAATATCCTGGTGTTCTTCATCATGTTTCAGTATTCAATAATCTGGTGCTGACACTGTTCCACTGCTATGCAGAAGGTTGTCAGTGAGTAAATACTTGGAAGGAGTTTGTCTCTCCTTTGTCCTAGTCTGTCTTTGTCTGGAAGCTCATCTTGACCTTGCTGCTATTTAAAATGCTGGTGACATAGCTTCCAGAATCACAGCAACACACCAGCCACCAAAGTACGACAAACTGACAGACATGTTGTGGGAAGTATATATATGCCGTCAAAATTATAAGTAATTTCAGAAGTCATGATTAAACAAGGTTAGCGTTAAATTCTTTATGCAAATTAAAACATGCTTCCTCTACAAACCTATTTTAAGTCTCACATAGTGCTCATTACACTTTACAAAACCCTGCAAGTCAGCCTGAGAGCACAACTTCCCAACTACCATGACCAAGTTCCATACACCTTTCTTCTGTGTGGCTGTGTGCTGTCAGGTCCACCCCGACGCACACGGAGTCAGTCAACTATGGGGGAACTCAAAAAGTTTAATTTATTTCTTGTCCAATTTGAACATGATAATATCTACTTTTGCACTTCCGACTCCAAGAAAGTAAAGACCCTTGGAACTCTACAGTTAAAACTACTTCCTTATTCAATTAAGAGTCAAATTCTTGTGAAAATATTTAAAGAGATACTTTTTAAGGCTTGGACCACTTTTCAATTACTAGCTGTAAATCTAACCCACAGCCAATTTCAGAAAAAAAAAAAAAAAAAAAAAAACAAGCTCAGATTCACTGCTGTTATTACTAAGTCAAATCATGAGAGTACTTCCTCTATGTCAGGAATCACAATCAAACGGTCCCTGTCTGTGAAAGAGGAAGCACAGTCATTAGGCATTTACAAATATGGTATCAAGACGGAAGTATACAAAGCCTGGACTCAGCTATGGTCACAGGCAGCAGACACGTTGGCAGCTTTAGGAAGAAGCAAGGAAGCGCTCAAGTACTGCGTGTCGTAAGAGAACTAGAAAAATGGTTTAAAGACAGTAAGTCATTTACCTTAATAGCTTCTACTTGTTGGCAGATCATTTTCAGTATAGAATTTTGATCTTCTGCCCATCGAGGTGGGGTTTTAGGAGAATACTACAAAAGTAACGGTCACAACAATAAAAAAATAGTTTTTAGAACATTGAGATCAGAAACGTTTTAAAAGTGGGCTTTTTCCTACTTACCTTGTAAGTTTTACTTGGTGATAGAGAATATTTGGAGGGAGATGGTGTAGAATGTTTTATTTCTGAATCTACATTTCTTACAGAACCGTTTTTATAGAGCAGACCTCCTTCGCTATAGTCTTCAAGTTCTTGCATAACAGAATTAAGCATCTCCTTTACAGACTCCAGAGGCACAGGTAACTAAACAGAAAAGGTGTTTATGTTTAGTTACCTTTTTTTTTTTTTTTATTGTGAATTATGTGATAGTTTACATGAACGAACATTAAGCATTACATTCATCCTATTGTATATCGTTTCATTGCCATGATTACAATCCCCATCATGCATCATCAAACAACCAAGGGTATATCCCGAAACCTATGTTTAGTTACCTTTGTAAACAAGGTCTTTAGTTTATCCAAAAAAAATCAAAGAACTCTGAAAGTATTTACATCTTGATAACTTTTGTATAGCAAGCACATCATACTTCAAATAGTACAGTCTTTCAATTCTTAACATCAAAGATGTTTCTGTATTTCTATTAGCCATAATATTAATAGGGAAGTTACTTCAAGTAAACAAAACAGGTAAGTTACTAACGTTTTCCAATGATTTTAGAATAGGAAAAATAGAAACATTTTGGATTCCTGGGTGACACCATAGGGCAAGAATTTAACAAGCTCACCAGCGTGCTCCTTGGAAACCCTCTACGAAGTCATGGTGAGTTGGAACTGACTCAATACAGACACAATATGAGACCTGATGTGGCACTATAGGACAAGCACTGGGCTGCTTAACAGCAGGGTCAACAGTTCAAACCCACCAATCGCTCCTTGGAAACCCTATACAGGGTCACTATGAGTTAGAACCCAGACAACATAAATCCAAATCACATAATAGCAACACACATGAATTAGCAGGAAACTGAGAAGGAAAGCTGTGCTGACAGAATTGAGTATCCTGCCAGCATTCTCAGATCAATGACAGCTGAGAATACCACTGGTCCAGAGTACATGAGAAGGGTAAGAAGAAAATCCTCTCATTGTCAGCAACAACGTTCAGTTTTAATTTTAACACAATGTTGAACTGTGTACCAGTCCACTGGTTGTAGGACTCTGTTGTGAGTACATTGCTGGGATAACAACACACGCAGTTGCATACTGCTTTAAAAAGCTTCTGAAATTCCCCAACATTACTCAGATTCCCAAGTTAAAAACTGATAGAGTGAATCTAAGACAGAACAAAACTAGGAAGCAGTTACATGCACAAACATACTTCCCATTCTTTCATAATGTATTACTAAGCATTTCTGAAATGATCAAAATATAAAACCAAGGCAAAAATATCTATCATCCAATCATCAGCACAAAAGGAGACAAAAACCTGTAACTTACTTTCTTAATCACTGATGGATCTGCGTCACTACCGTCTAAAATCTTGATTAGATGGTCCCTGGTCTTTCGCAAATAATTTTTACATCCTTCTTGTTCTTCAGGAGAAAGGGCATCATTTTCAATGTCTTCTGCTTTCCTATGAAAAATCTAGACAAAGAGTGCTATTATAAAACAATTTTTTTTCCAGTTTTTATTTTTTAATCTAAGTACCTCATTTACTTACCAGTGCAAGATTCCAGTATGAAACTACGCTTTTGATCGATTCAAAAGCTGCCACAGCATCTTCGAGATTCCCATTAACTGCATCCAACAGAGCAAACGTCAGCTGTGCTTCTTCTTCATAGTCACCAATTTCAACGACCTAAACAAATTCAGATGAGTTTTAGTCAAATTGCCTTTGCCTCCACAGAGAACATCTAATACAAATGATTTTACTATGACCTAACGAGATTAACAAAGGAGTCCTGGAGTGGTGCTGTGGGTTAATGAGTCAGACTGCAAAGCCGTTTGAACTGCAAGGTTGGCGGTTCAAGCTCACCAGCTGCTCCTTGGAAACCCTATACAGGGTCGCTATGGGTCAGAACCAATTCGACAGCACTTCACAACAACAACGAAATTTGTTTGTCGAGTTGATTCCGATCCATAGTGATCCTGTACAGGGTTTCCGAGGAGCAGCTGGTAAGTTTGAACTCCATTCATCTTTCCTGTTACATCTGTGACTGATAATGAGTTCAGAAAACAAGAGTTCCATTAAATAGCCATTAGAGCAGTTGAGATCTTTATTTCTTTCCTTATAAACTAAAAATTCTCATCTCCATTTAATTCATTCAAGGATTCCCTCTTACCTGTATGTCTGCACTATGAAAATGTTTGAACAAAGGATCCGTGGGTTCAGAAATACTGGTGTTCTTTTTGATTGTCTTCAACAATGGTAATACTTTCTTCCAGTAATAAACACTTCTGCCTATGTATTCCCGCTGATCATAAAAAGAATTAAGCTCGCTGCCCTAAAATAGACAGGTAGGTACACATAACGTAAGGAACATACATCATTAGATCTAAAACATATTCACAAATGGTCAAAGTTGTTTAAAATTTCTAATCAAGAAAATAAGATCAAGACGTCTCCTCTTAGTTTTCCTATTCATTTCACTAGAAGTCCTAGCTAATGCAATTAAGCAAAAAAAGGAAGTACAGGCATAATGATTGGGAAAGAAGCAAGAAACCGAGTCTTCGTTCTCAGATGGAACTGGAGAAAATCTCAAAAAAAAAAAAAATCAGCAAAAAAAGCCCTGCTTGACCTAAAACGAACCGACGGCTCTCCAAGGCCAACTGCTTCCGTGCACTACAGAAGTGAACAACTGCGAATGGAAAGGAGACAGACCACCACTTGTACTCCTGCTACTGTCGTTTTTAAGGCCTATCTAGTTGGTTCAGACTCACAGTGACACTGCATCCGGTTTCTGAGGAGTGGCTGGAGGGTTTGAACTGCTTACCTTGCAGCTAACAGTCCAGTGCTTATCTTATCGCGCCACTCAGATTATTTATATGAGCACCCCCCAAAATAAAATATTTAGTTGTAAATTACAAAACTCGGATAAAAGAAATCAAAGATGTAAATGAATGAGTCACAATCTAAAATCTTATTACACAGTCCCTGATCTTTTGCAAATAATTTTTTCATTTTTCTTGCTTTTCTCTAGGAAAACGGGCATCAATTTCAGTATCTTCTGCTCCCCTATGAAAACTCTATACAGAGAGTGCTGTTACAAAACACTGCTCAAAAATAAGTTAAGATACCAGTTTCTTGATCTACAGATTCAACTCAATCACAATCAAAATTCCATTAAGTTTTTTTTTTTGTCAGTAATAGCAAAGTGATTCTGATACAATAGGTTAGAGCTGGAAGACTACTACCCAAACTTTTAGACATAAAGTTATAGTGACTAAGACAGTATCGTACTGGCAAAGAAACTGACAAAGAATCTAAAATTATGCTTTTCACAAAAGTTAACTCAAGATGGATTACTGACCTAAGAGTCAGAAGCAAAACACTGCAATTTCTAGATAACATAGGAGAAAAATCTAGGTGGCGTTGGGTTCAATAATGACCTTTTTTTTTTCCCCCCTCCCCTTTTTTTTTGAGTACCTGATGTTGGATGGTCCAAGCAATGAATAGCATGAAAAACTAATGGTATCATGTTTATATGACACCAAAAGCATAACTCATATAAGAGAAATAATAAGCTGTAGTATACATTAAAATGAAAACTTCAGGTCTTTGAAAGACACTGTCAGATTAAAACACAAGTCACAAGCTGGTTGAAAACACTTTCAAAACACATATCTGAAAAAAGACTTTTATACAAACTGTACAAAGAACTCTTAAAACTGAAAATAAGAAAACAAACCACCAAATCACAAAGTAAGCAGAAGATATGAACTGACAAGTCACCACCTCACCACACAGATGGGGCAATAGGACCACTGAGAGGGCACGATACACCTAGTGTTGTTGTGAAGAGCTGTCGAGTCCATGCTGACTCACAGAGACCCTGTACAGGGTTTCCAAGGAGCGGCTGGTAGGTTTGAACCATCAACCTTGCTGTTAGCAGTCCACTGCTTATCCGACAAGCACCCCACAAAGAATGCACACACCTATTAGAGTGACTGCAACACAAAGCACTGAGAAGACCAAATGTTGGTCAAAATGTGGAACAACAGGAACAGGAAGGTAAAACAGTAAGCATCATTCTGACAGCTTTATCATAAAGCTAGGTTTTTGTACCCAACAACTGTACTCCTAGCTTATCTGCCCAAAGGACTGAAAATTTACGTCCACATAAAAACCTGTACGCAAAGCTTTAGAGCAGCTTTTTTCAGTTGCCAAAATTTAAAGGAACTAAAATGTCCTTCAACAGATGTACAAATAAGCAAATCATGGCATATTCACAGAGTATTCTTCAGAGACAATACGAGGTATGAAATGACATGGCGGAATCTTAGCACTATGCATTGCTAAATGTGGGGATCGAAGGCAAACTGAAAAGATGTATGCCGTTATGACTTCAACACCATATGACTGTTCTGGAAAAGGCAATTTCACCAAGACTGTTAAGAAAACAATCAGTGTTGCCAGGGGCCAGGAGTGGGGGATATAATGAACAGGTAGAGCATGGAATTCTTAGGACAATTAAACTATTCTGTATGATACTGTAATATTGGATACATGAAACATTGGTTAAAACTCATGTAAGGTCTCTATGAATCAGTTTCCACTCCACTGCACCTGATAGTACGAACAGTGTTTCAATATTGGCTCAAACTGTTAACCAATGTACCACACATGTATACACTGCTAGACAGGGAAATTGCAGAGGGAAGAGGAATCATGGGGGAAGAGTGCTTTTAAAATAAAGTTTATAAACATTTTTTCAAATCAAAGCCAAACAAAATTTCTCACCATTTACTCAATTTACCAATTACTGAAATAAATTACAAACAACCTTAACACTAGTGATCATTCTAGATCTAAATTTCAATCATATTAAATGATAGCCCCTAGTAAGGTCGTCAACCCAATCTTTGTAAGAGGTGCTGTTTTTACACAACCATAATATGCCTCTCTGTAAATGTCACAGTTTTGTCAAAGAGCCAGTTATCCACATTAAATTCTTCCACAGAACACACCTAACAAAGCTTTAGAAATGACTGAACAGCAGCAAATGCCTTAACCTACAAAGTTTTGCACTACCTCACAGAGACCTCCACACAGACCAAAAGGCAGTAGAGTTCAAACACAACAATGGAACAGAGAATGGCCAAAATTAGCAAAGGTGTGTGCCAGGGCTGTATTCTTTCACCATACTATTCAATCTGTATGCTGAGCAAATAATCCAAGAAGCTGGATTACATGAAGAAGAATGTGGCATCAAGAATAGAGGAAATGAGGTGATATACGATGGAATGAATGTAAAACTAAAGTTCCCCCATGTAAACTATCATATAATTCGCAATAAAACATTAAGAAAAAGAAAAGGGGCCCCCAAAAAAAAGACTAGAGGAAGACTCACTAACAACCTGGAATATGCGCTGATACAACCCTGCTTGCTGAGAGCGAAGAAAACTTAAATTACTAACTTATGAAGATCAAAGACAACAGCCGTTGTTATGGGTTGCACGTCCATGTAAAGGAAACAAAAATCCCCCCTGCTGAACCAATAAATAACATCTATATAAATGGAGAAAAGATACAAGTTGTCAAAAACTGGATTTTGCTTGTATCAACCACCAACACTCATGGAAGGAGCAGTCAAGTAATCAAACGTTAATATATTGCATTAGGCAAATCTGTGCACAAGCCCTCTTTAAAGAGTTCAAGAGCAAAAACGTCAGTTTAAGAACTACAGTGGACCTGACACCAACCCATTGAATTTTCAAGACCCTTGTATGCATGTGAAAGTTAGACAATGAATAAAGAAGACCACAGAAGAATTGATGCATGTGAACTACGGTATTGGAAGAGAATATTAAAATAGCACAGACTGCCAAAAGAAAAAATAAATCTGTGTTGGAAGAACAGCCACCATGTTCCTTAGAAGCCAGAATAGCCAGATCTCGCCTCTTATAGTTTGGACGTATTATCAGGAGAGTCCAGTCCCTGGAGAAGGACATCATGCTTGGTAAGGTGGAGGGTCGGCAAACAAGAGGAAGACGCCCAACAAGATGGACTGGCACAGAGGCAGCAGCGATGGGCTGCTTGGCACAGGACCGGGCAGTGTTTCGTTCCGTCGTGCACAGGGTCATTATTAGTTGTCACTGACTCGACAATATTAGTGAGCACCAACCCAACGGCACGTACTAACACCACATAGAAAAGTTTTTCTCAGTCTGAGCAATGATTATGGTAAAAATGACTAATTAATAGTCACTAGGATGTAGAGAGAGCAGTTATAGTGTATCGGGCACTGAAACTACTTATACACTTTGTGGCAGGATTGAAAATGACATTTCTCCTGGCATGCTCTAAACAAGTTACTACTGTTTCAGGACGAAAAGACTTTCCATTAATAGCGAACGATTTTTAGACTTTACTGAACTCACCGTTTTCTGCAGACATTTCGCCCAGTGTATCAGCAGAGCAGGGTGAAGGCCGTGCCTCTCCTGCGCCCTCAGAGTGTTTATTTCATGCTGAACTACAAGTCGCAATTTCGCCGAGGTTCCAGGTCTAAAAACAATTGTATTCAATAAAATTACAAATGTATATTGATTGTCACATAAGAGTTAAATCTCCTGTAAAACATGGACAATGAGCCAAAGGCATATTTGTGTTTCATTACTTACATTGCTTTTCTGTGAATCAGATTACAAACTGCCTCCCACCAAGATTTCTGTCTTTCTGTACAAAGCTGTTTACACACAGGAAACGGTAAGCAGAGCGGCTGATAGAAACTGTAGTGAGAATTGCATTTCTCTTTTAATTGTAAGTGGCTTGTATATATTACTCCAAGTAGAAATACCTGTTTTATTTAATGAAAAATGAATTTAAGTAAGAAGAATAAATAAATAAAACTCAAAATATTTCATTTCCTTCAAATATAAGCTTACTTCAAGATCTAAAATACATATTGATTCAGGGGCATTTGTTTCAAGCCTTGAGGTTTCCTGGGGCAAATGATGAAACAGCTGTTTTAACCATTTTCGAACTGCAGGCAAGGTAGGCAGTGAATTCCACTGTAAGCCAAGCCAGGTAAGGTGCTGAAGACTACCACTATGTGCTCGAATGGCTCCTGAAATTAAGAAAAACAGTTTTAGGCAATTGGCACACATTATATGTACTTTCATTTTACAATTGTTTTTCTGTGTCACAGGTGAGAAACTTCCATAAGCAGATTTCCATGCTTCTATTAAAAGTCCCCAAACTTCATACACAGGAATTTTAATAAAAATCGTTAAAGAAGAGAAAGTTAAGTTTTAAAGCCCATCTAAGAAATAAGAGACTCAAACCAAAAACTAAACCAACTGCAATCAATTCCAACTCAGAAGGATTCGACAGGACAGAGAAGTGCCCCAGAGGCCTTCAAAGGCCCTAAGTCTATGAAAGCAAGCTGCCACATCCGGCTCTCTCCAGGTTAGCAGCGGAGACTTAGCCACGGAGCCACCAGGAGACTACAAAAAGCCAAGGGCACTGAGACACCAAATTCACAACACTTACTATGAAATTTTTAAATCATGGATTTTCCTTTAGTAAAGACTAATTATGATAACAGGATACCACTACATTAACCTAGTAGCTAGTGAGAAAACTTCTCTTATATAAGAAATTCAATAAGGGAAAGTTACAGGCTTCTGGGAACAGAGAGGTACAAACTTTGTGACAATACTGCAACTGGAAAAAGACTTTAAAACGTTATCCTTCTACTGGGTCTCAGTAAAACCATTTTAAGCATTTCTGTGGAAATAACATGAAATGCATACAGCTTATAAAAATTTTCATTACTATATTATTTTTAATAATGAAACATTCAAAACAACTTGGATGCTTAAAAATTGACAATAATGTAAGACAATCCTGACAAATTCATAAAAAAGATTACACTGCCATTAAAATGATACTTCTTGTTGTTGTTGTTACATGCCCTACAATCAGTTCCGGCTCATAGTGACCCTGGACAGGGTTTCCGAGGCTGTAAATCTTTATGGGAGCACAAAGCCTCATCTTTCTCCCACGGAACAGCTGGTAGTTTCAAACTGCTGATCTTAAGGTTCGCAGCCAATTCGTAACCACTAGGCTACGAGAGAGCTCCTCATAAAGAGTCAAATATAATTACTATGGAAAAAAGCAAGGAAACAAGACAAATTTTATATACAGTAGGATTAACAAATAAAAAATACATGCAGTCCCTTTACCCCCAAAAAACATCCTTAAAGGAAAATCGTGTCTTTTTTCTGGATTGTGAGTCATGAGAAATTCACTTTCTTTCTTTTTGTTCTCAATATAAACAAATTAAGATGTGGCATTTTTTTTCCTGAAAGAAACAACTTACCAGCATCATATCTAGCCAAATCCTCAGGAGCCGGTGCTTGCTCATCAATGTCCCCAATGTCGTCACTACCCAGGAAAGAGCTGTCCTTAGAGGACTGACCAGAAAACAGAGCGTCATATAAAGCAGACAGCCCACTCTTATTGGCAAAGGACTCCACGACCTCCTTTAGAAAATCTTGCTTGCCAGAACTTAAGTTTAGCAGCATGTGCCCTAAAAAACAAATTGTTATTCCCGTCATTTAGACAATACAGACTGCATTTACGTAAAGATTAGATTCACTCACAGCTTTCCTAATTTCAGGGATGCAGCTGAAAAATAAATAAGCAGAACCAGAAAAAAAGGGTTCTTCGTAGAAAATAAAGCGTTCTGGTGGGGCTGTAGGATAAGGATAAGCAAAGGATTGCTAAACTCATGGTCGGCAGTTCAAACGCCCCAGACATTCCGGAGAAGAATGATGAGGCTTTCTGCTCCTATAAAGATTTATAGGCTTGGAAACCCTATATAGGGTCACTATGTATTGGAATCAACTTGAAGGCATTGCATCTGACTGGTTTTGACGTAAACAATGAATACAGACGACATCTTCAATAGCATTTATGTCTATATATTAAAATAAAAGGAAAAGAGAGGGCTATGTGAAAAATGTCAGAGTACTTATATTTTAGAGGGTGAAGTGTAGGATTTTAGCACCCATAAGAAAGCAAAGCCCATCAGGGAATGTAGTATATATAAAGTCAGTGGAGGTCAATGACATTAAGTGTTAGTGCATGGAGGAGACTGCACGCATGTAATGAAGCAACGTGTAGGATTGGTTAAATGTAAAACTGATGATCTGCTTTGTAAACCTTCACTAATTCCCAATAAAAAGCTAAAAAGAAAGCAAAGCCAAGGTCTAATTCCTCTTGTCAAATACATTAATTTATAAATCTGACAGACTGGAATCATTCTTTTTAAGCAACTTTGAAAATATTTTTTTCCATCTACCACACTCAAAGATTTTGAGTCCACACTGTGATGCAATGAATTATTTAATGTCTTTCCAAGCCACAGTCTGCAACTCACACAAAAAACCATTCCTGCCCTGATGGATCTAGGTAAGAGAAGGTAGGAGAGCTACTGATTGGATCACATGATTCAATTATGGATGTTAGCAGAACTGACCCTTGAAACTGTCGTATGGATATCAAATGAACCTTCTCAGAAGCAAAAGAGGAGATCTCAGTACTATCAATGAAGAGCCAGGAGTGGAGTGCATCTTTTGAAGCCAGAGATCCCTGCACACTGAGCCTCCTGGACCCTGGAGGACAAGCCGAGGAGCAGCAGCTGAAGAGCCAAGAGCCAGAGCGGGAGACAGAGCCGAAGGAACAGGGAAGGATGAGTGAGTCTGGACAGGAAATGTACTTGCAGGCACTTCACTGAGGGTACAACTAGGTTTGCTGATCCAAAGAGCTACAGCCAAGTGTCTTCAGGCTAAGGTTTATGGTGAAGTGTGGTAACCTGTGAGAACTGATCAGCAGCTAACTGAAATACCGGTGCTGTGAGCATCTTCTGACCCTGTATTGTAACTTGTTACACTTCCCTAATTAACCCCGAAACTGTGAGCATATCGTCCGAGTTCTGTGTGGCCAATGCAATGGATTACTGAACCCAAGCGAGAAGCAGAGAGGGTTGAGGCGAGAATGACTGCCACCACCACATAATTTTGCACATCCGTATGGGGTGAAGAATTTAAAACACAAATCTTGAATGAAGTCCTGGTACATGGCACATGTATGAACCTTGAAACAACTACATTAAGGGAAAGAAATTCATCATAAAGACCACATATCCTAGGACTCCTTCTATAGTAAAAGGACTAAATAAACAGACACTGCTGTCAAGTCCATTCCAACTCACAGAGACCGGACAGGACACAGACCTGCTCCAGAAAGATTCCAAGGCTGGTGATCCCATCATGAAGCTGGTGGGCCGCAACTATCAAACCTTTCATTAGCAACACAGCGCTGTAACTACTAGGAGTACTCACAGGACGTGTCCCGAATCCTCAGTCCGTTTATCAGACTGTGGCAGCTGGCATTTGCTATGATACTAGAAGTTATGCTACCAGTACTTGAAACACCAGCCTTCAGGTGAGCTTCCAGACTAAGACAAACCAGGATAAAGGAGAGAAGGACTCCTTCCAAATATCTGCTCACTGAATACCATATGAACATCAGTGGTACACTATTAGCACCAGAACAGTCAATCTGAAACATGAGGAAGACCCTGAGACCACTGTCAGGACACACAGCCGGAAAGTGAGCATCTCAGGATGGAGATGGTGGAGGAGCTGCCTCTTCAAAGTAAAGTTGACCACGAAGACGTGAACAGGGTAAAGCTCTCCAGACCTTCATTTGTTAATGGGGCACAACTCAAAATGAGAAGAAATAGCTGTAAACATCCCTTAATAACTTGAACGTGGAATGTATAAAGTATGAATCTAAGAAAATTGGAAGCTGGAACACATAAACAGCGACACCCTAGACTCTGTTAAGTGTCACTGGGTCGGTTTCCACTCACAGTGACCCTTGAGGTTCACAGTGACACTGTACATGATCACTGCACATGGTCCAGCAGCACCACACCAGGGCTGCACCCGAGGCATACTGAGCTGAAATGGACTGCTACTGGACATTGTGGCTACGATAATCACATGGCTTATATGCCGGGAAAGACAAAATGAAGAGGAATGGCGTCGCGTTCATCATCAAAAAGAACATTTCAGGATCTATTGTGAAGCACAAGTCTGTGACAGGATAATATCCATAATCCTACAAGGAAGACCAGTTAATTTTACTATTCTTCAAATTTATGCACCAACAACTAAAGCCAGAAGAATCCTAACAACTTCAGTCTGAAATTGATAAAACACACGAGCAAGATGTGGTGACAGTGACTGACAATTGGAATGTTGTTGTTGTTATGTATAGCGACCCTCTATACAGGGTTTCCAAGGCTATATATCTTTACGAGAGAAGAAAGCCTCCTCTTTCTCCTGCGGAACAGCTGGTAGTTTCGAATGGCTGATCCTGAGGTTAGCAGATCACATGATAGAATTCTGCAACACCAATGACTTCTTCGTTGCAAGTTCCTTTTTTAAACAAAATAGAAGACTACTGTACACATGGAACTCTCCAGAAGGAATATCCACAAATCAAATTCACCAAATCTGTAGAAAGGGAAGGTGAAAAAGCTCCAAATCATCAGCCTAAGCAAGGCCAAGGGCAGACTTTGGAACACACCATCAATTGCTCATATGCAAGTTCAGAGTGAAGCTGAAGAAAATAAGAATTAAGTCCACAAGAGCCAAAATATGACTGTGAACAGATCCCACAGCAAGAACAGATTTTGATGCATTAGACACTAATGACTAAAGATCAGAAGAGTTATGGAAAGAAAGCAATAGGGTCATTTAGACAAGAAAACAGAAAAACAGCCAAATGGATGGCAAAAGACTCTGAAACTTGCTCTCCAGCGTACGAAGAAATGAGGAGGGGCAAGAGGTGAATAGAAAAGAAGTACTCTATTTTGAGCTGAATAGGCTCAAGAAGTAGTCAAATATATTGAAATGTGCAAAGACCTGGAGAAATGTGCTTCAACACTCAAGGAAGCAGCAGTCAAGAAATCAAATGACGTACTAGGTACGTGGCATCAGGTAAATCTTCTGGACAAGAATTCTTTAAAGTATTAAAAAGCAAAGATGTCAGTGTGAGGGCTAAACGTGTGCCTGACCAAACCATGTTATTTTCAATATACACATTACAGCTGACATGGAAGTAGGAAAACCACAATAGACCTGATGCATTTGAGTTACGGTGTTGGAGAAGAGTATAAACATTACTGTAGACTGCCAAAAGAACAAAATCTGTGTTGGAAAAAGTGCAGCCTGAATGTTCCTAAGAACCCAGGATGGCTAGACTCTGTCTCCCATACTTTGGATATATAATCAGGAAAAAACAGTCCATGAAGGATATCATGCTTAGTAAGGAGGAAGGTCCAATTAAAACCAAACGGCCACCACCTGTCTGTCAGTTTGTCGTACTGTGGTGGCTTGTGAGTTGCTGTGACTCTGAAAGCTATGCCACCAGTATTTTAAATAACCAGCAGGGTCACCCATGGTGGACAGATTTCAGATGAGCTTCTAGACAAAGACAGACTAGGAAGAGTGACGAACTACTTCCGAATATTTAGTCACTGAAAACCTTATGAATAGCAGAGAAACACTCTCAGATATAGTGCTGGAAAATGAGACCCTAGGGTTGGAAGGCACTCAAAATGCCACTGGGGAAGAGATGCCTCCTCACAGAAGAGCTGACCGTGATGACGTGAAAGGAGTAAAGCTTGTGATAGACAAGCCTACGGGACCTTCATTTGCTGATGAGGCACAACTCAAAATGAAGAGAAACAGCTGTAAACATCCACTGAAAATCGGAACATGAAACGTATGTACTATGAATCTGGGATAACTGGAAGTTGTTAAAAATGAAATGGAACGCATCAACATCAATATCTTAGGCATTAATGAGCTGAAATGGACTGGTATTGGCCATTTTGAATCTGACAACCACACGGTTTACTATGCAGGGAATGACAAGTTGAAGAGGAATGGTGTTGCAGTCATCGTCAAAAAGAACATATCCATATCAGTCATGAGGTACAATGTTGTAAGTGATAGGATAATACCCATGTGCCTACAGGGAA